TAACAGTATACATTATATTTTCAATACAACATCTCATAGGTTTACCATGTGTTTCCAGCGAAAATAGTCATGCCTTATCTACAATGTAGCTGAAACAGGAAAAATGTCACTAGCTGAGTTTTTAATATGTTACATACTTTGAAGTATTGCTTGTACATACATCACAATTCTGCTTTATATTATAAGTCAGCAGAGCTACAGCTATCATGTGATCAACCATACATCCTGTCACCCATCAACAAACAATGTTTCCATAAATAACCCATCAATGTACAATTAACATGCTTAGCTTCTTTTAAGAATACTGAACCAAATGTAATAAAACCATTTAAAGCAAGTAAAATGCATGGCTTATTGCTATAGGGGCCCAATAAAGGTGTTAAAATGACTCAGTTAAAAAAATGCTCATCCTTTTGGAGGCCTCAATATAGTTGAGAAGTGTGCAGTCTGTATAGCTAAATCATTGAAGAGCAAATCTTGTTCGGTTGAATTTTGCTTTTTTTTCTCTCTTTCTTTTTTTTACATATCTTAAACACACTTTGAATCTCACCCCACCCCAGGGGGTCACAAAAGCTGAGTTGGTTAGAGTGTTTGGATAGGATGGCAAGCAACATACTTCATGAATGTTGTTCAGCAAGGTAACCACAAGTGACTACAAGGAGACCAGGCCTGCCTCAAAAGGACTTTGGCTCAGTTCACAGTGTGGTAAGCCCATTAAAACTGCTTGACAGAAGGATGAGGTAGAGGAAAAGATCTGCCATCCTATGATATTCATTCAATCTAAAGAAAAATGTTTAAACACAATAATAAAAAAAAAACCCTAATAGGGGAAATGGATGACAAACTCTGGACTGTTTTTTCTTCATCGAAGGCATTTTGATTCTGGGTCATCTGGTGCCAAAATATTCGGAAGATTTGTATTGTTAATTTATTTTAGATACTGAAATCAATTTCTGATTATATAAAATGAAAAAACTAAAATCTCCTTGGTCATTTCACCTTAGCAGGCTCTTGTGAGTCTGATCCGTTTCCAGGAACCATTGGATTCAAAACTGCATTATCTTTTTTGGAGAGGACAGAAAAAAGAATTGGTTCATTGATAACCATCAGATCTCTGTAAGCTTTCTTCAAGTGAACTTATTTACCTTTATGATGTGGATCTTTAACTTCTTCTAGCTTCTTTTTGCCTTCAGATTAGTGACAGATATAGGAGTTAACTGTGTAACATTTAACAGAATAAAATTGCATTTACATTTTTCATCACAGTTGTTCTGCAAGCATCTGTACATGTGCTTTGCTTTGTACATAAAGATGATAATTAAATCAAACAAAACATATAAAGGCCTGTACTTGTCTATAAAAAACACAGCTTCTCAAACATCATTCACAAGATGAGGCAAATCATTTGCAAAATTATCCTAATTTCTTTGTAGCTTCACCCCTAGACACTTGAACAAGAAGCATAACGCCACACTCATACCACAATTAATTCCTTGTTGGCTAACGTATAGATATAAATTAACAGTCTTAAAGAGCACCTGACCACCATTTTATTGTCAGTTATCATTAGGGCCTTTTATTATTTCATAATATAATATTTATAATTTTCCTAGCTGAGCACAAAGATCAACAGCCATACAAAGTCTATGCCACCATACACTTCATTAAAGCATAAAGGTTACCATATCTCTTAGATCACTGGTGACACTTAACCCATGTCCATACATTTAGTACCAGAAATATTGTATATTGCACAAACCTACTTTCCCATTAGTATACAATATATGATCATCAAGGGAGGTAACCATTAATATACCAATATTTATGTTGTACAATGATCTTTAAAATGTTTAGTCAAAATCTATGCTAGGAAGTCATGATTTACTGATATTTATGAAGTATACTAAACGACATATCAAAGTTACAACACGTTTCTTGTCCGCTAGGGCCTATAACATATCCTTGTACCAATCCTTTGGTTGCTTGGTTACAGAGTTTTTTTCTTTTTTTCTCGCTTTTTTGACTCATTCTATTTCTAGGTGTTGTCTCATCAACAAATTTCGGTGTTCTAGCAACATGGCCTTCTCATCCTGTAAAATACAGTATTGGGAAGGGAACAATGATTAAATTACAGTCGTCAGCATTCATGCCTTATCTGATTACACAATACAAGAGGATCAAGAGACCTGTATCGCTTACCTGTTAGCACAGTTTGTATCTAAAATGGTCACAATCTTAAAGAAAAACATGCACATTTTCAATCCCAGCAATCCATGACCGACCTCTATACTGATAGTTATTTGTAGAAATCCAAGATCAGTAACTTTTGAAGGTCATATGATGGAATGTGAGGGTCAAGGTCATTATCTGAGAAAGTTTTATAAGTAGCCCTTCACCTCAATCTCACTTTTAAAAAAACAGAGCTGTGTTTCTCTGAAATCACTAGAAAATTTTCATACACTTCAAAAAGACTACAAAAGTTTTAATACTAAGTGTAATGAATTTTGATATTTTTAGATTCCATCACTTCATAAAGCAAAAGCCAAACCATTAGTATTCTGAATGTGATGGTTCATTACAAGAAAAGCACAACATATTTAGCCAATATGAAACATATGTTGGTGAATTTTGATCATATTTTATACTCCCCAGCAATGGTCCAAAAACAGATACCAGATCATAATACTGACCACTTACGTTTAAGCTACTGCATTCTTTGTCTTTTAGTGTGAATGTCTAGGTAATTTGTAAAATGTTACATACAGAATAGTACTTCACTCTAGACACACATCCTCCTAGTTTAGTGCTGGCACTAGCCATTATGTTTCATTGACCAAGAGTCAGGATTTAGACACACCTCACCTAGTGTAGTGCTGGCACTAGCCATTATGTTTCATTGACCAAGAGTCAGGATTTAGACACTCCTCACTTAGTGTAGTGCTGGCACTAGCCATTATGTTTCATTGACCAAGAGTCAGGATTTAGACACACATCCTCCTGGTGTACTGCTGGCACTAGCCATTATGTTTCATTGACCAAGAGTCAGGATTTAGACACACCTCACCTAGTGTAGTGCTGGCACTAGCCATTATGTTTCATTGACCAAGAGTCAGGATTTAGACACACCTCACCTAGTGTAGTGCTGGCACTAGCCATTATGTTTCATTGACCAAGAGTCAGGATTTAGACACTCCTCACTTAGTGTAGTGCTGGCACTAGCCATTATGTTTCATTGACCAAGAGTCAGGATTTAGACACTCCTCACTTAGTGTAGTGCTGGCACTAGCCATTATGTTTCATTTTAGACAAACCTGTCTTCCTTTGAACATAAGCATAAGTATTTAATTGACTAAAGATAATCACCCTTCACCCAAATTCATATCTTTAAGCTAAATATTATGATTGTGAGCATTATAGTTTTTCAGCTGATGCCAGACAGATGATGTGCCATCGCATGAGCTCAGAGGCACTTTGTGTGCTAAGTCTGTTAATAATCAGCTGCATGTTGATTGTGTCCAGTAAATGATATCACAAAAGCTCTGGTTAAATTAATCCTAAAGTTCCCAATGTAGTTACTTGTCATCCTGTTCTGTTTATAACAACTGATATAAATATTTGTTTGAACATGAAATTGTTAGATTACAAGAGATCATCTAGAAATGGTGAAAGAAAGAAATGTGACAATAAACATATCAAATTACTTTCTTCTGTCTTTTTTTTCTTTTTTTTTCTAACATTACAACAGTCCATCAAAGAGTTTTTATGTACTAAGAATCATCTTTTAAATCTAGGAAAGCAAATATGGTTTTTCATGGAACTTTGATTAAAGTAAAAACTTGAAGAGTTCTAGTAAAATACCTCATTCATTTTGATTTTCCCTTAAACCAATGACTGATTCTATCAAGAACATGACCTTTATGTCTAAGAATTTCCTGGTATTATTTCATTTATACTGGGTATCATGTACAAAGACTAAAACATCACAATGACGTGACGACAACACACATACAAACATTGTGCTGTAAATGTTTTTATACTAGATTCTGGCAGTAACAATACACATATGTATCCTACATCATTAGGAACCAGATTCACAATAGTTTCATAAGTAGAGATGTATTCACATAAATAATTAACTATTTGGCAGCAACTGAATTATCATATCATAGAGATCTTGCTATCGAAGTAGCAGACTGGTCATTTGGTATGAATAAAAAGCATGTTCTAATTCAGTTTAAATTTCATCACATTTTAGATAATAACACTTTAAAAATTTGTATTGCCATTTGGAAATTACATTTCCTGTCATCTAAGTCAGGGTAGGGTGCTTATATTTAACAAGTGTAGAATTGTACCTGATAGCTGTATTCTCATGTCCATTTCCCATGATTTTTTTTTTTTGTCATTTACAGAATTCTGTTATAAAAATTAATTCCTCAAAATAAACATTGAAAATGATAATACAATACATTTATGTAATAAATAAAAAGCGTTTCAACTGACAGGTATAACTGTTACAGTTATATCTATCAAAGTACAAAGATAATTAGTAATATCTATCAACGTAAATAGATAACTAGTAATATCTATCAACGTACATAGATAATTAGTTATATCTATCAATGTACATAAGATAATTAGTAATATCTATCAATGTACATAAGATAATTAGTAATATCTATCAATGTACGTACCTGCGGTAGATAATTAGTAATATCTATCAACGTACATAGATAATTAGTAATATCTATCAATGTACATAAGATAATTAGTAATATCTATCAACGTACATAAGATAATTAATAATATCTATCAAAGTACATAGATAATTAGTAATATCTATCAAAGTACATAGATAATTAATAATATCTATCAAAGTACATAGATAATTAGTAATATCTATCAATGTACATAAGATAATTAGTAATATCTATCAACGTACATAAGATAATTAGTAATATCTATCAATGTACATAAGATAATTAGTAAAATCTATCAACATAAAGAAGTTCATTTAACTACTGTCATAATCCAGCGGTAATACCTAGTTCTGTAGGGTGTGACTCACTTGTCTTAGAATCTGTTTTTTAAGAGAAATGTACAGTATATATGATGGATTGATTCCATACACATGGTGATGTTCTCCCTCTATTTTGAGATTTAAACACATTTACTACCAAATCCACATAAGATGTCCTGGTATATAAGCCGCACGCCCAACCACCGAGGGAAAAATCTGCAGCTTATAACCAAGAAAATATGATACACAATCCCTTCAGTCAAGAGAATGTCACTCACTTTTGCACTTGGTATAAACAGCTCCCTTTCACAATTGGACAGACCTAAAATATACATATTTGAATCTTTACCAGCTCACACATGTACATTATCTTTGTCCAATTGAATAACAAACATACCTTTACCATTCATGTGCTTTGATTTACATACATATACATGTATTTATATACATTACAGTACTTGTTTCCAAAATAGAACATATATATAAATGTAAATTCCTTACTATGACATGCAAGCATAAAATTGATATGCTATGGTACCTTACTGTGACATGGAAGCATAAATTTATGTCAATATGCTCCCTTACTGTGACATGTAAGCATAAACGTATGTCAATATGCTCCCTTACTGTGACAAATAAGCATAAATGTATGTCAATATGCTCCCTTACTGTGACATGTAAGCATAAAGATATCGATATGCTACCTTACTTTGACATGCAGACTAAAGGATATCCATATGTATGTTACCTTACTGTGACATTGAGACTTAAGGATGTATGCTACATTACTGTGACATGTAGACTTAAGGATGTATGCTACCTTACTGTGACATGGACTCATTATAAGTATGCATTTATTGATGTACATATCCTGGTGGTTCTGAATTATTGCATCACTTTAAATTGCAATTTAAGGGAGGCTACTCCAATACAAAGAAAGATAGCATATGACCTCAAGGTTCAAATAAATAAACTTCATTAAGTATTCCGACATTTCCTTACCTTTTCTATGAGGATTTTTTCGAGTTATTTTTTAAGTAGTGTTCCAGAAAATATTTACAACTACATCATATGATTAAACAAAACTTACCTGTATGACCAGTTGTATAAATTCTGGTTATTCCGTATATACAACTTGTATATATACAATAATTATTAACAATATTTTCACATAACACACCATATCGTCTACACAACATCGCTTTCTCATTTTAAAAATATGAGAAAATAAAACACAATATATAGAGAATACGAGGCAACATTATCGCTGGTGGCACAGGACATACTGTGTTTCCAAATTCATCCAATTACCATTGTATAAAAAACATGTATTGTGAATTATTAGATGCCATGTTCTGTTTCAGTCTGATCACAACTGTATATGGTACAAGTTATGTGACATACAATGTATTGCACACTGTATATTGTATTCCATGTACTAACAATATACTACACATCCTCAAACATCCAACTGTAACTGTATCAAAAACATACACTGTATATGATGAGTTAGCACAACACCACACTTTCTTGTTCCTTCCAGTAACAGCTGTATAGATGACACCTGAGTTTCCTCTTGCCAAAAGTTGTGGATAAATGTTCACACAACAACATCAAAATGCCACACCCCACATATTTTGTCAAGAGAAAAATCGAGCTAAAATTACGAATGTTATCACACTTTCTCATACATCCAATCACAGCTGTATAAAATACATCAACAAAATAGAATATCATGAAGTAAAAACATAGAAAATCCTAAAATTCTAAAGAACGGCTCAAAGACTCTTTAACAATCCATGTTCTGGTTGGAACTTCATGAAAAATATATGCATAATATAGATCATTTTTAATGACAAACAAGGAATGACATGAAAATAAATGTGAGATAAAAAATCATGAGAATAGATGTAATATTTGATCCAAAATAAGTAACATCAAATTTTGAATTAAGCACTATTCCAATAAAACATCTGTCCCACCCCAGGACTAGGTTTTGTTTAGGGGTACCACTCATAAGATATAATTAATAATTTGCTCAGTATTAATAGGCAGGAAACCAAACAAAGAATAAAAGTGAGTTTGGAATTTTTGGATCAAGAAGATGTTTTACTGGAATATCCCTTTGACAACACATGATGTTAAAACACCTTCATTCCAAGTTAATCATCAAATAAATACAATTAGCTGGCAAGATGAATGAAACTTAAACTTAATTTCAAACAGCTGTACATCACACAAATTATGTGGGAAGTAAACATAAAAAAGTGCATATTTCAAATATCTTTATCAATTTTGGAAAACCAAATGAATGATACAACAAGCAATATACAACGATTAATCTGTGCTCTGATACACATGAACAAAATGATGACCTTGAGCTATGAAGGTCATAAGTGATGGAGATTCTGTAGATAATACTAGATATTAAAGCATATTCAGATGAGTATGACCAGTGAAGGCAGGAGTTTCTAATACAGCAAGGTGTTGATAGACCTTGATATTTCATCAGAGGTCATGTAGGCTCTGCAGATGTGGTGTAGTATTGGTGTTTGATGAGGTAGGATTGCCACTAGTGTTGGCAGAATTACATTGAAATGGCTGGACGACATCTTCTTTATGAGAGGCAAGATGTTTGGGTGTGTTCTGGCTCCCAGAGTGAGTAGGAGTCCCTGACTCACTTGATTTCTTGCTCTTACTAGCACTTGACTTCCTCGACTTCTTCTCCTCTGAGGTTGTCTTTCTCCAGGATCCCTTACGTTCAACATCCTGATGCACCACTAACAGTAGTTCTTTTTCTTCATCTTCAAGCTCATGACGCAAAAATCCAAGCAAAATCTTTTCATCCCCTATCACTTGCGGGGTATCTAGCTTGGAGTCCAGATTGTAATAAACATCTCCTATCTTGCGAAAAGCTATCCAATGCTTTCGCTTGAATGGAAGTCTCAACATACCCCATTTATAATCTGTTGGTGTATTCAGGATGAATCCAAAAATATTCTCTGGGATCAAACATTTAATATCCCTGGAAAAAGGAAATCGTTTATGGTTACTTTTATAATTAACATGTAGACTTGTTCATATTAAAATCAGCACTGGACACTAACAAGAGATCCAACTGGACTCTTGACATCCATCATTGCTTGGTCTTTATATGTTCTTTAAATGTTAGATTTTTCCCTTCTGTTCTTCTTTCCTTTGCTTTTGCTCTTAATTACAGTGTATGTGAAATTGGACAAAATATCCATAATAATCTTTAACTCTCAATCCATCAAGGTCTTTTGTCAGCCATTTTTTCTGATCAGCCCCCAAATGAATCAAAACACAATAAGGGTATAAGGGTAACCTTCGTATGATATTTTAGAAAAGAAAACACCATAAAAAAATTTTATTATCAAAACTCAAGATGAAGATTTAAGTATAACACAAATCTATTACGGTACATTGTTACCATTTTGTAAAGTTTTTTACTTAAATTTTTTGGCTACCTTGTCAAACTGTTTTCTACCCGAGTGTACATAGGTTTATAGTATAGCTAAAAAAGTTGTGTTAGTTCTGTACTGCCCTGGTCATTTGTCTGATGAAGGTGACAGTATTGTCATTAAAATGTCACACTTAAATCTTCTACCGGCGGTGTCGTATGAACTTTTATTCTGATTGGGTAAATTTTTTTATTCTTGGACTTGCACAGCCATTGTCAGAATACACCTGCCACATATGTTTTTACTGTTTTCGTGCATGACCTTTTAATATTTGCAAATTCTGTTTTCCAGTGAAGTCCACTGGGGAAAAATTTACAAACTTTAAGATGAAGAGCTAAACTTGCTTACTTTTAAGTAAGATTGATTCTTTCAAGTGAACTACTTGTCAACTTTAAGATATTAGTTTAATAATTTATCTCATTTTAATATTCTAGTACTCCAGAGTAATTTTACTCACTTTCTCTTATCAAACCAAAGGGTTTCACAATTTTTTTTCTGAACGGCTGCCATGATTACGTTGACATCATAATTGCCAAAGCCAAGGACACTTCTGTGTGGGTTGATGAAATGATCAGGAGAGAGTCTGTAAATAAAAAGTCAAGATTGTTACCAGAAAGTTGATTTTATATCACATGTTCATACCTACTGCCTATAAATAAAAAATAAAATATTAAACCATAGTATTATATATCGCTAATGCATATTGCAACAATTATCGTTATACATTGAGTCAATAATATTACTGCTGGCAAGCTAAAACTGGAAGAAAATAAAAACTTCACTATTTTGAATAATAAAAACACTAATATTTTTCTAATTACAAAATGCAATATAACTTGAAAATAGGAAATTTATAGATCTACTTGTTCAATTCAATTTCACATCAACACCTTTGATACTATGGTACATCATGTGTATTGATGATCAAAAGGACAATATCATGTTATGGTGATAAAGCCTACAGAAATTTGCTAAAGACTTTGAGAGAAGGTATAACAAAGTGTTGTAAATCTCTGGACAAGATTAATATTATACAAAAATGGGAAAAAAGGGCAGTAACTCTTCCATTAAATGTTGAGCCAAAATGCTGATCAAGAAAATACAAAATTTCATGTCACATAATTATACAGGCTACTAAGTCTCAAAGAAATTAGTTAAAATCCAATGAAAAGATTTCCAGACAAGATTAAAATTATACAGATTAAAAGAAGAAAAATAACTTCTCCAATTATTATTCAATCAAAATACATCCTCTGCCCCCATTAGCTGTCAAGCTTATCCCTATACCTCTGAGAGTGAAGCAAAGGACAGTAACTCTTGGCAATTAGAATGTCAAAATACTGTTCAATGTCATTTAGTGTACCTTGTGTGAAAGAAATTTGTTGAAAACTCACTAAATTGTATGTATTCATAAAAAACAAGGGGCAGAACTCTTAACTAAACAATACAATCAAATCAAATTGCAGTTCAGAAAACACATTTTAAAATATTGATGATAAGTTAACTGATGCACATTAAAAAGGAATTAGTGTCCAACAGATGAACAGATTGGCAAATAATGTCATACATGATATACACCATTATACATTCAGTGAAAAAAATTGACATGTATAAAACAATAGCATTACCTCTTGCATTGGACCTAATTCGTCAATAAATAATTGTAATAAATGAAAGATATCACAAATAAATGCAAAATGAACTAAGAACTCTTCAGAGTTTTGCTGGTGGGTTTATTTTATTGATTATCAGAGGCGCAAAAATAGATGTCTGATTTTGTATATGGTATTTAGCAAAAACACACAGACTTCAACATGGTAAAATGAAGGGCCAATCATTAAATCACTTGTGTAGCAATTTAAAATGCAAAACCATGAGATGCTGTGATTTAAAATCTAATTATATTGTACATTTTCAAAATATGTTTCGACCACATACCAATTAAACACTGGAGGAATTGTTAATAATATTTGTTATCACTTTAGATACCATTGCTCAGAAATCTGCCATGTTATCTTATGATCGTGCGTATACAAATTGTTTACATTAAATGTGTACACATAAAATTATTTACGTGTCCTTGACTCATATACAAATTATACCAAAAATAATTGAAAGACTGGAATAACCGATATACACTAATGCATTGAAATAATAACAATTAAATATATAACCCAAATGCATGTTATTTTTCAATAAACTGTGGTCACCTAATGCAGACTTCATCCAAATCCTTCTTGCTGAATGCCTTTTTGTCCTGGTAAAGGTTGTTGAGTGCATGAAGTGCACATAGTTCCTTCACCTGTCGCTCGTGATAAATGTCTGATTTTGGTTGCTTTGAGTTATCCATATTTTATAAACTGAGACAGTTCAAACATGGAAAAGTCTAGCATAGTTGAAAACGGTCGATGTTGTTAGTTATAGCTTAGTAAAAACTGTTCTCAATTCAATGGAAATCTGAGGCTGTTGCAAACGGCCTACAGGTGCTTGTTGCTGTTTCGTAAATTAAAACAGTATTCTTAACTCTTAAGTACAATGTGCAAAGCGAAAGTTACACTCAAAGGTAGACAATGGATGTAAGAACTGTGTTGAGCGTAAGGCAAATTGTAATGAAAGTAATCAAAGCTTCAACCGGTTCACGAAATATTCCTATCCAGGAAGAGACCATCGAGATGCGCTTTACGTCACAGGAATCGTGTAACTTATTCATTAGTGTTTATATTAACTCATAAAGTAATCTTAAATAAAGAAACGATACCTTTATTTGAAATAACGTTATCCTAACTATATGGAAGTATGCCTATGTGAAAATTAGAAATTATGGTGTATGTGGGGTTTTTTTATTTCATTTTTTTTCTCCAGTGCTATATTTCCACTTCCTGTACATAAACTAAAAATCCAACCCAAATACCGGACCCGGAGTCATTCGTATGTCATGAAACTGAGAATCGAGTATATCATCTCTGTATTTGGAATGTAAGACGATAAAAACATGAAAACAGAGGAATATAATAAACCAGTTTGAATATTTAATGGATATCTACCAAATTGTATCGTTTATTTTAATTTAAATGCCATGGACGTCTTTTGGCAGATTTCAATTAAATTTGGCATGAACTATCACTACAAATAACATATTTCACATTCGTGAAATCCGACATAGTGAGAATTTTCCCAGATATTTAGGACCAGAAAATAAAATTTTCAGTAGGTTGCTCGATCTTGGAAAACTGGCACAAAAATAAAGCACAGAGACCCTTTTTCTTAATCATGAAAAGTATCCTAAAAAATCTCTATCAAAACTTAAACTAGTTTAATACTAGAAGATGGTCAATAAAAGATTTATGTAATTTTGGAATATTTTCGAGTTTTGGTCGCTTTGCAGTTTTAAGCTCGTGAAATCAAATGAAAACTGAGCATTTTTACATATTTTTCTTAATATCAAAGTATCATACCCTGTCTCGTGTCATGTTTGCTGCTCAGTTTGCAAGGAAAGGCCGAACTTCGAGGCTGTCTGCAGAGGTACCTCTAGTGTCCTTAATTCAAATTCACAGGGATCACATATTCGCAAATTAATGGATCTGGGTATCAAATTTTTCGATGTCACCATGATTCTTTTAAATCGGTCGGGGGAAACTCGCTGAAAAATGCTTCACTCGTCGCGTTGTATAAGATGGTGTCTCTATATGGCCATAATGATTTCTGACCTTCAAGTCAGTTCCACACATGAATATTTCGGACCATTTTAGAAACATATTGCACCATTATAGTATAACAGTTCGTATGGTACGTGTATAAAGGCAAAAGTGAAGGTTCTATGCGCAACACCTTCTAAATATGACTAGTTTTCATCCTTTAATGTTCATAACACAATTCTCGAGGACGCATAACGGTATGGGGAGTATAAGCCAGTGATTGGTCACTTGTTTTCTCCAGGAACTGCTCTAGACCAATCAAATTACTTCACTTGCGCCTTTTATTTGTGAGAGTGATCGTAAATGGAATTTCGAAGATGCAACAATACGCAGAAAACCAAATGTGGCCATTACATTTATAATTGGGGAACTAGTGTAGAGTGTAAGATATTTTTTTCGATAGATTATGAGCAGCGTTGGCCAACGTATCTACGGAGGCCATTAACCAAATATCTCAAAAAAGTACTTTAGTTACTAGTTATGAACTTCCAAATAAACTGAAATGTTCCTACAGCCTTTTATTGTTAACGAGAGAATACAAAATATCTTTTGTTTCAAATATAAAGTTCTCCCTGTAGTCATTATTCATACTAAATTTATCAGGATGTTGTCTGTTAATATTTTTCAAACAGGTCATGTAATGAATAAACGTGTACTTAACTTGTGTATGTATATATTTATCTGGTTTCAAAATTTTATGATTAAATTTTATGTATTATGTATTGTTACAGCTGTATCAAGTTCTAGGTGAATTACGTTTTAATCTTTTAATCATTTAATTAGTATATATTTAATTGTTGACTTTGATTTACATGATTTATCTTAAGCTACATGTGTATATCAGTTGGGTAGATGATATATGTATGTGAGTGTATATGTGTGTATGTTGTGTGTGTGTGTGTGTGTGTAGTACTAAACATGAAAATAAAGAATTATTATTATTATTAATCTCAGCAATCCAGTTGTATCGGTCGACGCCCTGAACGTGAGGCGGTTTCCGTTTCATAGAAAGATGAGAAAGAGATCCCGTCTGCGATGTTGTGGTTGTATCCAAGGGCAAGCTTTCAACTTGACAGTTTACGCGCCGATAAACCCAGAATACTTATTCTTACTGAATTTTTAACGAATATGAAATTCCAAATTGAAAAAAGAAGAGCAAAAAGAAAAAGAAACCTCTACATGAGGGATTTTAGTGATCTATTTCTTACTCTTAAAATACTGTCTTTTGGCAGAGACGAATGACATATCCACATTAGCTTACAGAACTCAAACTACCAACATTAGCTTCCAGAAGAATAAGGGGAGACATGATCGAGATGTACAAGATTATCCACGAGTACTATGATCCCCAAGGCAAGCAAATGGAAAAATAAATCACAACATCAAGGGAATAGACGGAACTCATTAAAATTCTACACACAGCAGAGTAATTTAAAACTTAGGATAAACTACTTCACACTACAAAGTGTACATATTTGGTATAACCTACCAGAACAGATTATAACAGAACCATAAAAAATCCTTTAAGAATAGATTGGACCAATATTGGAAAAATCAGGAATTCCCGTACAACAACTACAAGGTTAATATAAAAAAATGGAAGTGGTGTGAAAGACATGAAATGGGATGAAAACAACGAGTCTGGTATAGGGTATTAACATCGCTTAGTATCGCAAAGTAAGTAAGCACATGGAAAATGATGCTTTCCGGAATTGACGTTACCTAGACGGAAGTTTGTCGTTTTTAATTTTACACAACGCGTGATGACATGTTGTGCAAGCTAAGAAGGAAAGTTTCTAAAGATTTGTCCCGGGTGTGGATAATTCGCTAGAAGTATTTGCACGATCCATTGTAAATAGGTGATTTATATTTTGTTGTTTAATCTGTCAAATTAATGAACAGAGCTTTAGCATTTCTTAACTGACACTACGCTCTCTTGCCAAACTTTCTTGTGCCAGATTGTCACAGTATGGTCTGTTTTCAAAACCATGGTTTAAATATCACATGAATTGGCTGTGTTGCATTCACTTTGTATCACTATTTCTATCATAGATTGATAAATTCAATTCTTTAGTTATGATAGATCATTTTTGACTCGTAAATTGTGTATACGCGCCCTATCAGACAAACGCAATATTGCAATACTCTTTGAAATAGCGTTAACGATAGTCTACTCTGATGTTGCTGTGGTGATGAAAAGTATAGTAATACTCCTAGTCGGACATAGTAGACACGGCGATCATCTTACAAAGTTATTGCTGCATTATAGAATACAATCAAAAAAACAATCCGTTACCCCATCAAACTACAAACGAGTGGAGCAAATCTTCCACTTGATATTCTCTCCTGTTCTACAGAAACTGCCATTTATTCCTGTCCAAATTATACATCAGCATTTTGAATGCTATGATCTTTTGTTCTCCACAGATACTGTCCTCAGCTAGATAAAGTTTAGATGTAGAAGTTTCCTGTCCCATTTAATATTCACATTCTAAGAACAAATCTAAATTATACAATGATATTAACATATACAGTAAAAGTCGAGATGTTTGAGATGAGATATCACATTTGTGAATAATTTAGCATATTTTGATAAATGATGTAATTGTGATGAAATCCTCTATAAAATATGTGTGGATTTAACCTATTTGAATCAAATAATGTGAAATATTACCTGTTGGTCTGGGAGTAATTGGTAATCATAGTGAATTTGTTTTACATTACAATTAACATCAATTATATATAAAAAGCTTGCATCCAATAAGGAGGCTGGTTATGATTAATTATAAAATAAGTGATACACATAATGGGCCAATAGAACAATGACCAGGTGAAATATGTAGATGATGAAATCCATTGCAATTGCTGTGTGATCTATATACAGACTATGTAGATGTAGGTCAAGTTTGTCTTACCGGTATACATATATATATATATATATTTAATTGCTGGAGTCTGGTGTATATTTAAAATCTTCATTTCATTGGATTGCATCAGTAGAAAAATGTCTAATATTATATAGTACATGTATGTGAATCAGATGTTCAGATATTGCTGGCAACTCAGTTTTGATGAAAGCGTCGGACAGTTCTTCTTGATGGGCCTACATGTAGTATTTCAAAATTATTTGTGGATAATGGATTGAAAGGAATAATGTATCATATCATCTAAAAGAAGTAGGTTGTGCTTGTTATTTTTAGTGTCAAGTGATTTTGAATCTGCGTTGCAAATTGTTATTTAGATTTTGTTTTTTCCTTGGTTTCTAAAGAGAAAGAGGCTATTTATTGTGCCCCAAATAACTTTTTGTACAAATTGTGTCGAAGAACATTTGACTTTACTTTATGTAGAAACATTTTCTTTTTCTCTGTTTTACAGGCTTATCAGGATGTGAGGACTAAGGATCTGCAGAGTTTTCAAAATGTAATAAGGAAAATTAAATCATTATGTTACAAACACATTTGTGGTTAGTGACAATTATATAGTGTTTAGAGTCAAGAAAACAGTATATAATTTTTAAAACAAACTGTCAGTATAATAATCATTGAAAAAAAGTCATTATGGCAGCAGCTGTAGAGATGGAAAACGGCGTCAATCGGGCTGAAAATCTGTTCTCTCCAGACGAACAAGATGTGGAAATGGCAGCAGAGATGGCCACATTGTCATTGAAGGTATTTGCACAAAACATTTTGTTAGCTTTCCTGGTAATGTTGCTAAATGCTTGTTGATTAAATCAATGTAAGAAAAACTTCACATTGATTGTATATTTATAGAGCCTAATTATGAATCTACAAAATCAGTTTTGATGTAATCTTTCTGTTTGGTTGTGTAATTTAGACAGTGCTAGTCAGTCCCAGCAGTGAGGAGTTTGATATATTGATGGAGACAATCCAGGAGAGGATTATAGAGGGACAGGGGGAAACCATATATGAAATTGGAACTGGAGGTATGTTATTTTTCCTCTTAGTTGTGGGCCTGTCTTGTTTACTTTTCTTGTCAACCCATATATAAATCTCTGTATTTAGACCTGCATAACAGAAGTCTGGACAAACAGAAGATAGCATGGGACAATCCTTCATGTATAGATATTAATATAATTCATAGAAAAGCAACTCCATTTACTGTTAATACATGTTTGTATTAATGCATCCCAAGTGGCAACACAGAACATTACAATGGGATGACATGATTTAAATAAAGACCAAACAAATTTTCATGTTTTCATTAACCTCACCTAAGTAATAATTGTATCACAGGAATTATACTAGATATGTTCTCACTTATAAATTTACAATTTAAACCTTCAAACCTTATTGTCCTGTAAACTCTAATAGAGGTGACTGTTACATGTATATTAACAGAATTCATTGTTGATTGCAAAAAAAAAATTTTTGTTTGTCAAGTTATTTTATCCAGTTGCTCGATGCCAATTTTTAGAATGAGATCTTGAGCTGTTTTTATTTGTCATATTTACTCCATTAGTTTGAATGAACATTTAGTTATCAAATAATTGTACAATAGAGGGGGGAGCACCAGGACTGTCAGAGGAAGACATGCAGGCCTCGATAGCCACACTTACAAGTATTGCCCAGCCTCAGAATCTCGAGATGGTGAAGTTACGAGAGAGAAAAGAGGCAGGGGGAAGTGTGGTGGAGTTCCTTCTTAGGAAAACCCTGGAACCAGAGGACTTCATGGAGGTCAGGTGGGTACACTATATTGGTTATTCCTTTTTCATTGATTGATTAAAGTCCAAAAAGGTTACTTATGATTTTTTGAACTCTTATGAGTGAACTATCCAATTAAAATAGGATTTAACAATGAACTGACTTATTATGTGGTGTTAAAATCTTTATTTGGACTCTTTCTTCTGGAGTTTTGCCTCTTTTCTTTTTGAAAAAAATCTTTAAAAATCTTTTTGCAGACAACTCCTTCCTTCCAGTCTTTTTGTCTAATTTCATTGAAACTTAAAAGTATTCACTGCTGTTACACATTGGCTAGATTGTTATTTTCACACATTGTGGTGATGGCTACTGAAACTATGATGGCTGATGGGATCAAATACTTTCCAAATTTCCTTCAAAAATTTTTCATGGTATCTTAAACATAGGCATATGTTTTGTTTAAATATAGTCACTGGCAACTAATGTAGATTTACATATGGGGGTGGGAGAGATATAAATTTACACGTGGGGATAAGGGTGAGAGATATGTAGATTTACATGTTTGGGTGAGGGAGATGTAAATTTACATTTAGGTATGGGGGAGATGTAGATTTACATATTTGGGTGGGGGAGATGTAAATTTACATTTGGGTATGGGGGGAGATGTAGATTTACATGTTTGGGTGGGGGAGATGTAAATTTACATTTGGGTATGGGGGAGATGTAGATTTACATTTGGGTATGGGGGGAGATGTAGATTTACATGTGGAGGTTGGGAAGAGATTATGACTACATTTCTTCCATATATCCTTTGAAATAAAATAAATGCTGATGTAAAGTTATCAATTTGAAGCAGTTGCTGAGTTAATTTACCTAATATATACTTAACAAATAAAAATAAGTTCTCAGAATTTATATTAGTGGCAGCTATGTCAAGTTTCGGTGAAATATGGTAAATGAGGAGTCAAATGATTCCGTTGGGGATATTTGTTTATGGTTGGTTGAATGCCAATGTTCTGGTTCACTGATTTTGTGTAATGTACAAGACATGTGGTGTTCATGTGTCTAAGAATAGTGTCAGTACCCTAACTTGTGTTACAAGCATTGGCTGGATCACAACATTAAAATGCCTGTGCATGGAGCCTGAATCTTGATGATGTGTGAACTGAGATGGCGTTCCACTCCAAATTCAATGCCTGTGCCAGTTCCTAGAAGTTGAAAGGCAGATTTGGCAGACACCAAACTCGTCTTCCAAGAACATCCCAGATATGCTCTATGGTGTTCAGATCAGGATATTTTGTACCGATTTTAAACTTGGATGTTGTGTTGCTGTAAGAATGTCCTTGTCATGTGACTGGTGTGGTATGTTGCATTATCATGCTGCAAAATAGACCTAGCCCCTTGACTCTGTAAAGATGGAACTGAGATGGGTGCTTAAATTTCTTCTGGTTCTAAATTGCATTTAATTGGCATTGACAATGACTTATCTGTTTCGATTTCCACTGGATATGCCACTCCAGATCATTACACTACCCCCACCAAATCTGTTATGCTGGGTTACACAGCAGTCTGTGAAGTATTCCTTCCAACGTTGCCTTACTCGCTGCCGGCCATCATTGTACATCAAAAAAACAAATCAACTCATTCGTGATCAAAAGGTTGTTCTTCCATCAGAAGTGTCATCGCCAATGTCACCAAGCCCAATCATGGCGATTGGTGCTGATGGTGTCGCCTAAGGACAGGGCCTGTTTAAGGCCTCCACACACACACACAGTGACATTTCAACCTGCTTCTGCTTACCCTGCTTACAAAGTCAACTAAGGAAAGTCCTTGCTGTTTAGGTTGAAAAAAGATACTGGTCCCGCAGATGTTGCAGCAGTATTAGATGGTCTTCACGAGGGCTGGTACCTCAAGGTCAACTGCTCCTTTAACACTGACAGGAATTTAAAGAAATTATATTGGGCGTTGTCATAACATAACCAACAATAGTTTTCTGACATGATTATATAACTACTGACTTGGTTCAACATATCAACAGTGACCATAAAGATGTAGAGTTTTGATTGATAACATTTGCCTTCATGTTGACAGAGTAGCAGTTGTGGGGAATGTGGATGCTGGAAAAAGCACATTGTTGGGAGTGCTCACACACGGAGAGCTAGACAATGGCCGAGGAATGGCTAGACAGAGACTTTTTAGACACAAACATGAGATGGAATCAGGGAGGACCAGCAGTGTAGGCAATGATATCCTGGGTTTTGATTCCGTTGGGAAGGTTGTTAACAAACCTGATCACGGCCATCTTGACTGGGTCAAGATATGTGAACAGGCATCAAAGGTATACATCATATGTAAATATTTCTGCAAAACCTTTACATCATTTCACTTCACTTTATTTCAATGCCATTCTATCATGATTGACAATGCCGTGGTTTAGAGCATTCTGTGACATTTCAAGTTTGAACATGTGATTTCTGATTTTATTCAAATGCTGAACATGGAGTAGGTGATCTATCACAACTCTTATATATGTTGAAACTTTTATCAAGACCTCTTTTAAAATCCCAACACGCATTCATTGTAAAAAGAATTCCAAATAGGTTGATGTGGGTATTACATAAATGTTTCTGTCATAGGTGGTAACATTTATTGACCTGGCTGGACATGAGAAATACCTGAAGACAACAGTGTTTGGAATGACAGGGCATGCACCTGACTTTGCCATGTTGATGGTAAGTGTCCACTTGGCTCATCAGATATCAAAATTGATTTTTTTTCTTTCAGTTTTTGATTGAAGCATTTCATAGATATCCTGCTTTTGATTTTGAATGTTGTAGATGCTTTTAAAATTTGATTGAATCATAAAGGCAAAAGACAAACTGTTTCAATCTCTCAGACATTACATTTGAGGAGTGTGGTTTCTGAAATTTAAAACTTGACATGTGAAAATAAAGGGTTTTTTGTATAGAGATAGTTTTGGCTAAGTATAGATTTAATGGATATGAGATAAATGTATAGTGTAGATTTTAGGGCTGATGTCTTGTGATTGGTTGTAGATTTTAGGGCTGGTGTCTTGTGATTGGTTGTAGATTTTAGGGCTGGTGTCTTGTGATTGGTTTTAGATTTTAGGGCTGGTGTCTTGTGATTGGTTGTAGATTTTAGGGCTGGTGTCTTGTGATTGGTTGTAGATTTTAGGGCTGGTGTCTTGTGATTGGTTGTAGATTTTAGGGCTGGTGTCTTGTGATTGGTTGTAGATTTTAGGGCTGGTGTCTTGTGATTGGTTGTAGATTTCAGGGCTGGTGTCTTGTGATTGGTTGTAGATTTTAGGGCTGGTGTCTTGTGATTGGTTGTAGATTTTAGGGCTGGTGTCTTGTGATTGGTTGTAGATTTTAGGGCTGGTGTCTTGTGATTGGTAGTAGATTTTAGGGCTGGTGTCTTGTGATTGGTTGTAGGTTTTAGGATTGCTGGTGTGATTCTGAATTTTTAATTTTTTGAATTATGTTTTCAAGCTTAGCGGTATGACAGTTATATTCTGACAGTTATATTCCGTTTTACAGATGGTAAGATCATTAGATATGCTTTCTTTTTTATCTTACAGATTGGAGCCAATGCTGGGGTGATAGGAATGACAAAAGAACACCTGGGTCTAGCTCTGGCACTAAGTGTGCCAGTGTTTGTTGTTGTTACAAAGATAGACATGTGCCCAGCAAATGTCCTTCAGGAAACTCTCAAGATGTTGCAAAGAATTCTCAAATCTCCTGGCTGTAGAAAGATCCCAATCCTTGTCCAGAATCAGGATGATGTAGTATGCTCAGCAACAAACTTCACATCAGAAAGGTTAGTAAACTGTGGTTAGAAAGTACTCCAAGCTGATTAAGTGCCTAACGAAATGGATTTAATGTAGTAAGATCCATAACAAGAAACATCATCTTGTTTGAAGCTCTAAATAAAGTTTCAGAGAGATGATAAATATTTACTGCTACATTCCAACGTGTCAATGCTTGCATATACTAATACAACCAAAGTCTTGGTTTTCCTTTTTCAACAATATGTTAATTGAGAACGAAATGTAGGATTTAGAATGACAAATATTTCTCCTATAGCTCCTTTCTAAATACCAGACTAATTAGTTCAAAATGTAATCTTCAGCCTGCTTTGATTTACTTAAATTTGTAAGAATCACTTTTTACAGGTGTTGCTATATTTTATGCTTTACCATTGGGTCTCCTTTTAAACTACTGGACTGCTAATGGAAATTTTTTTATACACTCTCTTGTTCACAATCCTGATTTTTTTTGTGCAGCTTTTTTAGAGGCTGTTTTCAGTAACTGATCATATCATTCAACATCACTTGATTTGTTTTCTGGTATCTGGACAACCCCCAAGCCATAGTGTTATTTTCATTAAGGTTCACGATAAGCTTCTCAATAGTTATTTAACCAAAAGGTATTCAAGGTGATGTGTAATACATTATTCCGGCACCCTGGCTTAATTCTTAAAAACAGAATTAATGTTTAATATTTATTCGATAAAAATATGGTAGTTAGAAAGAATAGGTTCAAACACTGCATAGTTCAGACATCACTAAGGTTCAGACAAAGCTGTTCTTTTTTAATCTTTCTGCTCTTGTTGTCAAGTGTTACACACACTGAAACCGTATATATCTTGTATACCTACGCTGGTGTTTCTAAGTTGTTGTAAAATAACTGCAAACATGTATATATTGTCTTCAAAAGTTTCATCTTAATGTACTTCCTCTTTTGCAGGATGTGTCCTATATTTCAAGTTTCCAATGTGTCCGGAGAAAATCTAGATTTACTAAAGATGTTTATGAACCTGCTGACAACAAGAGTGAAGTGTCATCCAACAGAACCAGCTGAATTTCAGATAGATGATACATTCTCAGTTCCAGTAAGTAGTTGTCTGTGGTATGTTAAATACACACCTGATTTATATTATTACAATCACATTTGTTTTGAAATGTTTTCTGATATCAATAAAATATTTATAGATTAACATTTCTTGATAGATATCTTGTTATGAATATAAGTAGAGTAATATTTAAATTTTCTGTAATCAAAATAAAAAAACCCAGCATGTTTTTTCAGGGAGTAGGAACAGTGGTGTCAGGAACACTACTACAGGGACAGATAAGACTTAATGATTCATTATTACTGGGTCCCGATGCTCTTGGACATTTCCAGCCAATTCTCATCAAAAGTATCCACAGAAAGAGGATGTCTGTGCGAGAAGTTCGAGGCGGACAAACAGCATCGTTTGCTCTTAAAAAGGTAAAGAGTTTGGAGAAAAAAACAGAATTTTCACTCTTAAATTATATTGTAAAGGACTTGTTGGTGAATGTTTTGCAGACTTGAGAAAGGAAATTTATGAGGGATATGATATTGTTACAAAATAATTGCATTTCTAAAGGGAAAAAAGTTTTGAAGGCAACCAGTTGTATTTTTTTTCTGTTTGATATTGAAACTTTTTGTCACAAAAGTTACTTGTGATTTCAGATCAAAAGATCCTCTATACGTAAAGGAATGGTACTGATCTCACCAAGACTAGAACCAAAGGCTTGCTGGGAATTTGAGTCGGAGATATTGGTGTTACACCATCCTACCACAATATCAGTCCGCTACCAAGCTATGGGTAATTTATTTTGTAAATTTTGATACTATTGTTTTTTTTGATGTTTTTTTTAAATTGGAATAAAATTCTTGTTGAATTATGGTTCCTCAATTGAAGATTTTCCAACAGAGTACTTATGAATATTATGTGCCTACTATAGTGTGCAGTTTTGCTTACTAGCTTGCAGATTAAGAAAGGTTGTAGTTTTAATTATAGAGTTTATTTTAAATTGTTACCATGTGTTTCATTTTATTGTCTTATTGTACATATTGTTAGTCTTTTTTAAGAGTATTTCAAGAAAAACCTTTATAATATAGAGATATGGAGGTTATCATGAGACCTGGTGTAATTACTTAAGATATGCAATGAAAAATGTGAATTTTTTATCAACTTTACTGTTGGCATAGGTTTGTAATTTCTGATTAAAATCCCTCCTGTGATACATGTCAATATGTGATTGGGGTACAGGGACATTCATGTTGAACCAACATTTCTAGTTTCTGAGCTGTTTTTTTTCTTGGTTCTTAGTTCCAGAATATGATACCATATATCTCTTCTGTTTCAGTCCATGTTGGTAGTGTGCGACAGACTGCAACCATAATTAGCATGACCAGTGAACATCTAAGAACTGGTGACAAAGCCATTGTCAGATTTAGATTCATCAAAAACCCAGAGTACCTAAAGACAGACATGAAAATGGTGTTCAGAGAGGGCCGCACAAAAGCTATTGGAAACATTTGTAAATTGTATCCTCATGTCAGTGCTGTGGCACAGAACACTCGACAGCACAGGGCAGCAAAGAAAGCTCAGGAGGCCAACCACCAATCACATCCGGCCAATGAGCCACAGAAACCCAGCAAGAGGAGGCGTTCCCGAGGGGGCACTGCCCGGCTACCACAGCCAGTAGCAGAGCAGGATGAGGCTAGTTCCTCTCTAATAAAGAGGTCTCCCCCAACTAGTGCAGTGACAGTTGCTTCCTAACTTTGTGATGTTGGCGATTCACCATTGCATTTGCAAGTCTGCGGTGGCAGGAGGAACATTGTCGTCGTTATGAAATGATCTAGTGTGTTAGTCTATACCAAATGAAATACTGCTTGAGGGTGAACATTTAACAAAATGTTGAACAAGAAAACTAGTTTTACCCCATTTCTGACCCTGAACTCAAGTTGTGTCAATCATCACTTCATGATTTCATTATGATTTTATCATGATTTTTATCATTTCAATGTATTATATTAATTTATTTTGTAAGTAAAAAGCCATACAGATGAATTCATAATGTCTCTATTTAAAATCCCTACAATTTGTTGTGGTATACAACAGTCTGTAGAATGTGAAACTCCTGCAGGGCGAAGCTTTCAGTCACCATACTGATCTCTCAGGAATACCAGGTGTGATGATCTAAATTTTCATCTTTTTTTAAAAATCTTTTTTTCCTTTTCTGTGCAATTTAAAATAGGAAACCACTAACAAATCCTATCGCATTCAGAAAATATGGGTATTTACAGCAGTAATCACAAAGGGGAAAATATAGTTCAAAATTAGGTGATTTGAGAAATATTTTTTACTGAAGTTCTAGTTGTTTTGAATACAGTAATATTTCCAGTTTCAGTTTTAGAGTTATTTTCTTGAGAATACCTGTAACCATTACCTGGTATTAAAAGCAAGGATGTCCTGTAAGCAGTTTTTTTTTTCATTATTTCTAAACACATATATATAATACAATGACTGAAGATTTAAATGCCTTATTCTGATTTTTGGTCGCTTCCAGTGAAAAACAATATTAATTGAATATTTCAATATTAATTTCAAAATGGAATGAAATTAAAAGCATGTATAAAAAGCGATAGATTGTTATAGATCTTGTATCACTTTTGTTGGTTGATTCCATGCCATCAGAAATAGAGGGGAGATAACTTGGATGTGACACACATGCAAATGCTGCTTTATTGTCATTATGAAAATACTGATTGTATTTTGACAAACATTCCCAAAAGATTTTGATTAGTAAAATAATGAAGGAATACAATTTGTATATCTCTAGCTACACAGCTTTTCCATTTTCTGTTCCAGGATAGGAGTATTGAAATAAATAAATAATGTACTTTGTAGTTTATCCTTGGTGGTGGATGGTATTCCTATTTCCCAAATTTAAGCCAGTATCTTTTTCCTGCTTCTTTCCCAGATAGAGGGCATTACCCACAATTCCACAATCTAAGACAGACTTATTATCATCATCCAATCATTATATTGCATGGTTCTGTGCAAGTCTTTATACTATGAATTACATCAAACCTAAAACTGCAGCTACCATGTGTGTGTCATTATTAAAACAAATTGATATAGGTGTCCATTTTGCAGCTATGTCGTGTCGTCCCACTAGTGTTTTCAATTGAGTGGGATGGTAATTTAGAGTACTTTATATGAGAATGCATGCCATTTAACTTGGAACAACCGTAATTGTGTTATGTTTACATTCAAATATACATTTGTTGGTGTCAATTTGTGAAACTTTTTTTGTAAACATACAAGATTTTGTTTTTGGTAATGAAAGGAAAAATAAAATGTGTTGAAGCAAGACTTGGTGTTGTGTCACTGGATTGACTCCATGGTATATGAGTAGGGTTTGTTCTACCTCGATATTACTGGATACAAAAATGTTGAAACCCTAGACAATTCATTTTCACGGGATTTGCCAGTAGGTCACTGCACAACTCAGTGTAGTTACTACATTTCAGTGGCAGGTGCCAATCTAGCAATGAAACCTACCATTTTGAGATTCATAGGATTTACTAGTAGATCACTAGCAATTATATTCACTACGATTATACCCCACTCTCCCTCAAAAAAAAAAAAAACAAAAACACACACATACACACACACACACAGAATTGATACGAAATCCACCAGACGATCTCGCTTTAAAAACCACACACGGAGAGAATTGACACGAAATCCACCAGATGATCTAGCTATAACAAACCAGCTGGATAAGAACTGTGTATACCTCTGTGAATCAGAGTGTGAAGAAGGCAACATTATACGAATCCCACATAACTGCACAAAATCAAAAGAAAATCTATCCCAACCAGTTGATAGTAATTGACAATGTCGTTCTTAAAGTGAGTATCCCACGAAGTACTTGTTGGAGCTAGTTAACGGTATTCCCCACACAATCTGCCTATAAAGGTGTAGGCACCAGGTAACTGAAAATGTCCTAGTTAATATGTATCCATAGTATATACCTATGTCCTTTCTTAATAGAAAGCTACAAATGTTACTCAGTTGCTTGAAATGTCGTTCTGTTCTTCTATCGACAACTTCCTGTCATGATATTTAGATGGGCATGTGTATCTGGCATTCTGATCTCCCAGCGTTACAGCCTTCTTTCACATTGTCAGCAAAAGCTTGGCAGTCAAAGAGACCGAGAATGGTATCTAGTAGGTCACTTAAAAGACACAGTAGTGAAACGGTACTTTTCGATACAAATTTAGAATTATATACAGTAAAGCCAAATAATAAATTAAAATGCACCAGACAGCTGTCTTGTCCTCTAGGATTCGTTTGTGGTGCTAAGGGTGAAAGAAAGACCATTGAGGAAAACCAAAATTTCAATATATCATGCACTGACGTTCTTTTTAAGATACGATTAATGAAAATTACGAAATTTATTGAATTAGGGCAACTTCCCATCTCGGTTTTGACATTTCTTTCTATCGATTTCGGTTTCCAACAGTCACCTCGTCGGTTTTGAAATTTAGGCCCGACAGCACTGAGTCAGACGAACCCAAGAAGGACGAAACAACTGTGATGGAATTAAATTCCTTATTTAGCTAGCTTTATTAAAATCACTTGTATGTCTATTGAACAATTTTTCATACCACTTCAATCGACATGGTCTTACTGACAAATCAAACCTTGACCTCGTCGCTGAGTGTTGATAACATTTATTACGTAAACCGTTTAAAAGCTGCCACGTGTTCCGAACATCTGAGAAAACTATCTTGAAGGGTCATCTTTACTTTTGGACGCTACAGAAAAAAAAATAAATGAGATGACCCTTGCATGATTATGTCCACCATGCAAATAGGATGTCTTACACAACCAGGTCACATAACTTTGACCTAACGAGATCTTCAGTCTATCTCTAGTATGAATATCAACATTCAGGACCTTGGTCGGATGACGTGACATGTGTCTCTTAAATAAATATTTACCGGTAATCCTTGATACACTCATCCTACAGCAGTTATCATCATTTATTTCCTCCATAATGAATTGGTGATAGTGCCTTAATGAATTTGTGATAGTGCCTTAATGGATTTGTGATATCGCTATAATAAAGTGGTGGTAGTATTACAATGAATACGTGATGTAGCTGTAATGAATTGGTGGTAGTTCCACATTGATTTGGTGATAATGCCACATTGATTTGGTGATAGTGCCACATTGATTTGGTGATAGTGCCACATTGATTAGGTGATAGCGATATAATGAATTGGGGGTATGACCATAATGAATAGGTGCTATTATTTGATTTTCTGACATCACTCGATCAAAATGTAAAACGGTTCCCATGTTCAATCCTATCCTGTGTCCATTAATTATAGTTGGCTTTGTATATTTACACCAAAAATCTTCACTGACTATGAAGGGGTCTCTGATTAGAATTGCTGATATCCTAACGGTGTATTTACAAGACTGGATGGTGACGAATCTATTGATTTTAAACGTCGTTGTGGACAGTTTATGGTAATAGAATTCTGGAATGTATGTACACACTGTAATCGAACATGCAATCTTGCCTTGTAAATTGTGCAGTCAAAACCAGAGAAGCGAAAATCAATATGTGACCAGCTGATGTAAAATGCGACATTGGAGAAGTTTGATTTGTAACGACCGATGTTCTTGTCAACGTGTATAATTTATACCGAGTGTAAAAGCGACTGTTTCAAATATGACAACGCATACGCACTGCCAGAAACAGGTACTACTGTAACATTTTATACCTAAAAGTTCACACGAATAATTCTAATATACTTCAACATAACAAACGATATCTCAATATTTCATTATACAGTCAACGAATTAAGCTCTTCAATGATTTATCTTGTATAACTGACAAAGACAGCAATACAGCCTGCATGCACAGGAACTGACACTTCGGGTTCCTGCTTTTGTTAATGACATCGATTTTTATGACATGTCGGGGTCAATTGGGGTCAATGACGTCATTAACAGTTGTCATCCGGGCCTTAAATACAAATGACTCGATACCGATGGCTATCATATCGCATGCATCGATTTTTATGACATGTCGGGGTCAATTGGGGTCAATGACGTCATTAACAGTTGTCATCCGGGCCTTAAATACAAATGACTCGATACCGATGGCTATCATATCACATGCATATTTATTTACTTATTTCAACGGAAAAATGGATAGAAAAGGGAGCATTCACGACCTTGAGGGTAGGACAGAGAAATCTCTACCCGAGGAAGAGATTCTTCATTGTCTAACCAGATGCTTCTAAGCCTCAGGTTAGACAATCAAGTGTCTCCTCCTAGGTTCCGGTTAGACAATCAAGTGTCTCCTCCTAGCTTCCGGTTAGACAATCAAGTGTCTCCTCCTAGCTTCCGGTTAGACAATCAAGTGTCTCCTCGGATAATGATTTATCTGTCCTAACCTCCAGCTGGGGAAGATCCTGTTGTTCTATTAATCTTCACCACAAAGTGGTAAGGATCGAAGTTGTATAGCAATGCCCTACCCGACATATTTTCATTCCCCGTAGTTGGACTATCTTATTTGATATCTACTTAACAAACCGATACAAGTTTCTTGCAACAACCGAATAAGAGTTTATGTAGGTACCTCACTTGTTTATTACAATATACATATGTATTTAAAACATTATTGAAGTAAAAGAAAAACAGCTTCATCAGTGATGTTAATCTATATATGCTTCTGACGGTGATTAAATAGAAGAGCAAAAGTTTATAACATTAATCGTGTTTATCATTTATACTTACTTATATATGAATGCAGGTTGCTGAAAATGACAGGGGAGTTTTACGGTCGTCATAATGATCCCACTGAGAAATATTTTATTTCCTTGTGTCATGTGAAGGTGGACGTGTTTGGTGTGCGTTTGTTTGTCTACTGGTTCTGTTCTTCTTACCTTTTTCTCATTTGAGAACATGACAACTTCTTACTGAGAGAGACCAAGATTTACATGGCGGGTGCCGTCACTAAAGCTGTGGACGCTTCCTCTGTTTCTAAGGATTCTCCGAGTATTGTTTTTGAATTGGTATAACTGCAACATAATTGTTATCTCGATACACAATGCAGCCTAGAAAATATTGTTTTTCACTTAACGATAGCATACCTCTGTTATCGTTCATTCACTTACTATCAACATTCACAATGTACTTTTAAAATGAATGAGTACTTGAGGTCACTCGGTACATCAGATATTTAGTCACAGAATACGGTCATTTCTTTATTGTGGCGGATTACGCTATCGTTAATTCAATGGCATGGAAGAAAACGGCTTGCCATGGATTACGTCGGAACATTCCGATACATTGTGAAATATTATATTGCGAAATGTTACATTGCGAAATAGAGAAGTAAAGAACTTTAAGGACTGGTTAAGTAGCAAGTAGTCTCCGCGAAGACTTTGGCCATTGTGAAGGGGGTCAAACCC